AAAAAAAAAAAAAGGTCATTACACTATTTATATTTTACACAAGGTGTCAACTTTTCCAGAAAATGAGATTGTAGTATCGGTAAATTCATGATCTGAATGAGGGGAAAAAACTCAAACTTATGTATTCACATCAAGAGTGCTACCAAAGTCCAGGCCCCAGCATGGCCCACTCTACACAGTAACATTATGGCCGGTGTTTGTGTGTACAGCAGTATTAAAGGAGTCACGGATTTCACACACATTTTATTTAACTTGTTGAAACCAGTCAAAGAGCTGCAACAAACACATTACTGTATTCTTACTGTAGATTAAAAAAATCTACAGTAAGAATACAATATGGCTCCCGTGCAGGCCAAACTGGTTCACTCTCCTCTAAACGTAGATTCTTTGATACCAGCATTTTGTTTTGCGTCACACTGCTCTTGAGCGTAATTAGCCGGGGCAGACTGTCCAGTGAATTTAATGGATATTTATATGCAAGATGCACTTTTCATGAAAACAAAACAAACAGGTTTATCTGTAGTCACTATTATAAAGATAATGCTAAAAAAACAGACACTATTTTCCACTTAGTTTGGGAAAAATACTACATTAGTGAAAACGGGCTTTGTTTAGCTGGATCTGTTTGTAATTTTCTTATCATGCTCTCATATCCACTGTCCCTTTGCCCTCAACTGCAGCCACTATAAAAGCCTCTAATTCTTTTCTTTTTTGTTTTCCATTTGCACTGATTGTTTTTGATGACCATCTTCAAGGTTACTGATATTATCTTAATTTTCTGTCTTCCCTCGATCCTTTTAGTGAGAGACATGCAGCAGATGTATGAACTGTGGCTGCAGCTCACCAATCAGAGCAGGCGCTCAGATAACTCTGCTGTGACCCCGCCCCCAGAAGACAAGCAGGTCACCATAACAGCAGATTACACAGAAGCCATGGTGAGTGTTTAAAAAGACGTCAATATCCGAGGTCAAACCTTGCTTATTTTCCTATTCTTAAATCTCCACTGAGCAAAATATGATGATGAGCAGATTGCAACAACAGACTGTATATGAAAGGCAAAAACGTTTGGTTTCTGGTCTCCACATTTTGACGGTATAGTTTTAGATTTTAGGATTTTCCATTAGGTGGCAGTACCTGGTACCGTGTACTTTTCCATGTACTTTTTTTAGTACCTATTCAGCTATAACAAGCCACACACATTATGTCGTACTTGTAATGGAAACGGCCAAAACAGAGTCGATCTAAGCAGATACTAGTGAAAAAGGGCTATTATGGAATGGGTGGCGGTGGTGGAGTGGGAGTAGGAGATTGCATAGGTGGCAGTGGTGTGAGCCCAGTGGGTGGGTTAGGAGCAGGAAGAGGTCGCCC